TTGTAAGGTTCTGATATTATAAATTGTTTGAATAGTATACAAAGAGTTAGACCATAGTTCTACCTACGTTTTTAGTGGTAATAAATATGGAACTACGATTTTTGGACAGTCGACTCAAAGCAAAAAAGCATAGTTAATTTTCCAGCTGTTTAAATGTAACATGGTCAGTCATAATATATGCTTTGATATAAGAAAGTTATACGAAATTATTAATACTTCATTTAAAGACGGATTTTAATAAAATGTGTCATCCGTGCCCTAAATTGGACGAAGATGAGTAGACAAAAATGTAAAGTAGTATTCTTAAGGATTGTCGTCAGTTTTGACCTTAACCTCGTTGGGGGTCCACAAGAAAGATCCGCTATAACAATGCATCTTTTGAGGATCAACTTAATGGAAAACTTAACGAAATATTATTCAGATACGACAACATGACACAAGTGGAAACTATCGCTTTATCTTCTCCTCTTATGGTATCTTCTGGTTCACATCGTTGCGGGAACCGAGACAGTTATTCATGTACCTGAGACGCGACGGACTTCAGTGTTCCAGTGTTTTCATGGTTGTATCTACTGTAGATCCTGGATTACAGCGGTTTTGGAAGATTGTGGCCGGCTTGTCCTAATAAAATAAACATGGCACAATTGAAAGGACAAAATGATGTTTTCCTTTTTCAAATTGTTTATTAATGTTTTTTTTTAAAAATATAGGCTCACCCCCTATTACATGGGACTCATAACATAAATAGGGAAACGTGGGTGTTACATTGTACAGTGGCAAATTCCTACCCCTTCGGGGATAAAAGGCATGATGTTATGTGTATGTGTGTGTGTGTGTGTGATTTTTTTTTTCGTTTTTTATATCATGGCGACTTTTATTTCCGAAGAGGCAGGCGGAGATGCACATAATACATAAGCAGTACTCTCACAGTACTACAATACGGATTATTTTAACTGATTTAAAAAAGAAAAATAGGAGGATATCAAATCGATCCGTATGTTTATATGTTTGTGCGCGATTATCTAGACTTTTTTGAAAGCCGCATCATAATCGGTTCAGTTAGAACCGATTATGATGCGGCTTTCAAAAAAGTGATACACTTAGGAGAAGGTTTTAGAAATATTAATTAATTGACTTCAAAAAGAGGGGGCGTTAAAGCCAGTTTTTTTAAAATGCGTTTATAAAAGCATTAGATATTCATAAATATCGATTAATAATGACATAGTTACCCGTTATATAAGTAATGAAATATGGTCGAGATATTATTTAGTTGAAGATTTTGACTGCTAATAGAAAATTGTTGATGGCAACGCCCCCGCCTCGCAGAAAACCGACTTCGAACAACGCTTGCGCTGTCTTTCGTCGTGTAAGCTAAGCGACGATACCGGCGACCCTATTACCAAGTGAAAGATTCTATTCCAATCCATGGATCTCCCACAATCCTCAAATTAAATTATATGTAACATATTTATGTAATGTTAAATTATGAAATAAATCAATTAAAACATTTAATTTTATAATTTATATACGAAAACTACTAAGAAACATACTTATTATACCTATTCGAAAATAGTTGAAACAAATGTGGTCGTTTCTAGGGACTTTTGTTAGTGCCCAGGTTTGGCAGCCATAAGAATGGAAAGAATACAGGTATCGAATAGTTTGCGTTTGATTATTTTAGTTTCACTATTTTTCCTTCAGATTCCAATATTGTTTCCAAGCATTTCCGATACGTTTATTTATTTCTTTTGTAGCTATCTGTAGGTTAGTTAGTTGTAGGTATCTGAAGGTGAAATTATTTGACCCAGGTACATAATCATATTCATTCACATAATCGATCATACTGCTATTGATCCTAATAGGTTCTTGCTTCCCAATTGTCATAGCTTTCGTTTTTTGTGTGTTCATGACTAATCCCACTTTTTAGCTTTCTGTATCTAGTTCATTCAACATCGCTTGCAGGCCCTCGCTCGTCGGTGAGAGTATTATCAAATCATTCGCGAATCTTAAATGAGATAGGTTTTCACCGTTGATGGATAGTCCATATCTTTACCAATTCAATTGACGAAAGCCCTGTTCCAGTACTGCCGTAAAGAGTTTCGGTGAGAGGAGGTCACCCTGGCGTACACCTCTTCAAATTCATATAAATTCAAATTCATTTAATCATTTCCAAATATGGGTACTATAGGTATAATATAGGTAATTTAGGTGTTAACAAAATTTACAGTTTTTCTATATTTTGCCTTCACTTGGCATGCAAAGTTATAAAAAATCAGTATATAATAAAATAAGGTCCATTGAGTTGAATTAATTGTAATTTTTTTAGACTGAATACAGTAATATCATAGAAATTATAATTATTGATACCACTGAAGTCAAAAATTTTATGTCAAATTAGACATTATATAATGAAACGTAATCATCAACTATAAATGTCACACAAGCAATGTCAAATAAATAAAGTTAATTATTATTGGCCATAATTAGTCATACACGCAGCCACAACAAGCCCAAGAACCATCAAGTCCATTCCATGTTTAGTCAAAATGAAATGTGTATGTCAATTATTAAAATATTTTTTTTGATAATAATTAATCTTTCTATTTTGAATTCAGTTGCCTTTTTCTCCAATCCTATCTCCAAATTTAAGTGTTATAATCACTTGAAGTTAACACCATATGCGTAGAAGGTACAAAAAAGAAGGTTGTAAAAAAACATGAGTAAACAAATTAAAGCTGCACGATTGGTGTGTATTGGTGGTGGTGGTGGTGGTAGTTGGTATAAGGTAAAACGATTAATTTTAAACATCACCTCACCTACTTAATTTGTAAACACAGTCTGATTCAGATACAAATTGTGACCAAAAACCTTGGTTTTTCCAGGTACTGGATGCCTATTAATTTAAATGATATCATTAGGTCTTCCCTTAAATCGGCTGGAGTGAAGTGGCGTTTTCTAGAAATATTTGTACTCATTTAGCTAGACCCATACATATACAGTAAACTAGCGGACCCAACGGACGTTGTCGTGCATATCCACTTGAATGTATAAACAAAAATTCATTCAAATTAGTTCAGCTGTTTAGGATAAATAACCTAAACATCGACACACAAAAAATTTCATCAAAATCGGTCCATTCGTTTGAGAGAAGTTCAGTGATATACACACTTACAGAAGAATTATATATATAAAGATTACAACAAACGTAAGAAATGTTTGTTTTAGTTTTACATACTTGGTCATTCAGTCAGTCAGTCAGTCAGTTTTTAGTCAATCAGTACCTACATTAAATAATGTATATATACCACAGTTTACTGAATATTCATTCTACTTTTTAACCGACTTCAAAAGAATAAGGAGCTAAATGTATACGTCTGTTTGTACGCGATTAGCTAAACCGAATGTGATGCGGTTTTTAGAAATGTGTTTGTTACACTTTTTTAAGGAGGGAAAATCATCGAATGAATTCTCCCGCCTGGGTAAGGCGGGAGGGAGTGTCAGACTCTTACTGACTAAAAAGCACCCTATTCCTACTCATGCACTTCTAGCCGGAACCCCGGTAACCCGTTACGTTCTCCAAGGTTTTAACTAGTATATGAATAAACCTCAAAAATGAGGGGTTTGAGGTCGGTTTTTTTTAAAACGTAGTTTACAAATGAAATGTTTACTTAGTTTATGCCTTGAAGAGTCCAACTTATTATTTTGCTTTACTTACTCGTTACTTACATTTGCCCCCACTTTCATCAATAAGACAGAAAAAAACGTCCTCTTTTTTAGAGGACCGACAGCGCCCCTGAAACTTACCCTGTGGTTTGCAAATTGATGATGGTGATCTGCCATGAAGGCATCATCTGTTTTCTATGAAACTATTTATTACTACTTCCTCGTTATCCGAGTAACTACTGGGCAAGGGCTTTCGGGTTCATTTCCAGGGTCGGGTAAAGTATTACTGGGTTTTTAAAAATTCTCAGTAGTAGCACGAAGTCTGGAATTGTGCCTGGTATATGGCAATAGGCTCACCCCTATTACATAGGACTGGAAACATAAATAGTGAAAAGTAGGTGTTACATTGTACAGTGGCATAATGTACACCTCTACCTACCCCTTCGGAGATAAAAAGTGTGATTTTATGTTATGTTGAATCAAATATTTTTTTAGGTATAAGGCATTAAGTACCGTAATGTGCACCTCTGTCTATCCCTTCGGAGATAAAAGGCATGATGGTATGTTATGTAATAAAATTTACCTTAGCACAATAATTTATAATTTAAAGCTGAATGATGAATAAATTAATTCACTCACTTTGTAAAATTATGCTCCGTGCATCGAACGTCGGAACCAATCTCAGCGGCTTGCTTAGTTAACTACAAATGGGTTAATTATATTCAAAGACCTTAATAGCGATAATAGCAGATACAATGACCCAAATAACAAGTCTTTTAGAGGGCAAAGATCGAACCCACTGCGTATATAATTATAATTTGGTTTCGTAAATTTTTTTTCATTGTTGTTTTTATCGAGTTTTCCTTATGGGAAAATAAGTTGGCCCATTACTTATTATTATTTAGCTATGGAAGAGCCATGCTTCGACACGAATGGGTCGGCTCGACCAGAGTGATACCACGCCTAACAGAAAACCGACCTCGAACAACGCTTGCGTTGTCTATCGTCGTGTACGCGACGATACCGGAGACCCAATTACCAAGTGATAGAATGGGGAGGCGGGACCGGCCCGTCCACGGCGCACTCGCACGAATTCTATCCCAATCCATGGATCTCCCACAATCTTCAAATTTAATTATGTGTTTTATATAATGTTAAATTATAAAATAAGTCAATTAAAACATTTAATTTTATAATGTATATACGAAAACTACTAAGAAACCTACTTATTATAGCTATTCGAAAATAGTTAAAACAATTACGGTCGTTTCTAGGGATTCCTTATGAAGGTGTCGTTTACTATGGTGAAAAATTAGGTACGGGATGAGTTTAGGGACTATTTTATGATGATGACTGTTAATATATGCTAATTTGTTTTCCACAGGTAATTCAGAAACTCCTGTATTTGACGAAAAGAATAAGGATCATTGGAACATGCAAGCACAATGGATATTACAAACAAAGGTACCTATTTGTTCTAGATATCTTGTCGTATAATAAGTATACGACGTAACGAGTTTGTTTATTTGAACGCGGAAATCTCAAGAACTATTGGTCCGTTCCGAAAAAGTCTTTGTGTTTTGGATAGCTTATTTATCGAGGAAGACTTTTTTTAAGGGGGGGAAATCATCGAATGACTGCTCCCGCCTGGGTGAGGCGGAAGGGAGTGTCAGACTCTTACTGACTAAAAACCACCCCGTTCCTTCTCCTGCACGTGGAACCGGATCCCCGGTAACCCGTTAGGTTCTCCGCGACATTGAGGAAGGCTATGGGCTAAATAAAACATAACGCTACGACCAAAAGGTGCTTAGCAGAGTGAATAAAACCGCTTAGAAGTAGCTAGTTTGTTATAAATTTAATTTAAAAACTTTATAATAGCATTTATGGTCATCAAAAACTAAATGTAGATACAAAATTCACTTCACACACACACACACAGACATACATACAGACATACATACATTGCAAGTCAAATAAATGAATGTAAGAAAATTGCAAGTACATAGAAATACTGATCTCTAGGATCTCGAATTTGATCCTGGGATCTGATGATATATAAGGTTTTTTAGACACACGTAGTCTGAAATTGTGCCCTATATTTGGCAATAGGCTCGCTAGCAAAATGGAACGAATGATAGATTTAGGTAACAGTCGTAAAACGTGAGTGTGACGTAGGATGTGGGATAGGATGTAGGACGTAGGTACTCGTTACATTTGACTGCACGGTTGGTGTGGTGGCTGGACAACTGGCTGCCGTGCAACGTGTCGCGGGTTTGATTCCCGCACGAAACAACACTTTGTGTGATACGCAAATAAATGTTTCGGGTCTGGGTGCCATTGTGTATGTGAACTTATATGTTTGTAAACGCACCCACGACACAGGAGAAAATCCTTATGTGGGGCAACGTTAAAAAAAGTAAAAGAACATTTCTGAATATTATTTCAGGCATAAATAATTATTTTTAATTTATTATAAGTCTCTATTTTATCCCTATAGAAACTATTTTCTAGTTGAATATTAACGTGTTCTCTCACCGGGAGCATTCGCGTGTATTGTATCGTTACAGATCTGAGCATTACATCAGTGAAGGAGGAGAACCGAGCATTACAATGCGCACCTTGTAATGATACAATGTGTAATATCTTGATACAACTTGTAACATCAAGTTCTGACATCTTGCTATGAAATGCTCAAAGTCGAATCTATATGTTACATTGCACGCAAATGCTCGTTAGTCAGGGAGGTATTATTGTAATGTAATGCTCAAAGTCGAATCTATAATGTTACATTACACGTGAATGCTCCCGGTGAGGGACCTTTAGGACTAAAGTGAATATTAAGTACGGGTATTAGTTTAGTAATAAAGGAGAATGGCAGGTTTGTATGGAAGTTTTGTACCGCTATAAAATTTTGTATTAGTCATTGTTTTAACCAAGTGAATAGTCTGAACGATAGAAATTTTTATTATGAAGTTTAGAAAAAAATTACATATTTTTAGAACTTGGGGTTCAAAAGTTATTTCACTTTGAAAATGTGCAAAAGGTATGTTAAGGTGGTACCACACTTGACATTGCGTAGTCGCTTCATTTGTCCAAATATTTGTAGACTACGTACAAATGGCGTCCAAATAGTATCTCTATATGTAATGGCGTGCAAATATATAGCAAACAAAGAAGAATAAATCCTCCAAACATGTTCTTTTTTGGCCGAACACAACAAATACGCAACGTCAAGTGTAGAGCCACCGTAAGCAAAATATCTATTACAAATGACAGATGACAGTTAACTGAAAAATGTCAATGTGCTCTCATGTGGTTGTTTATTTACAAAAAACAAAAATCTAAAAATACTGCTCGCTACTCAAGTGACTATTACACTTTGTATTATTAGAAAGAAAGAAAGAAAGAAAAACCATTTATTTTGCTACGACACACAACAAGAATTTAGAAACCCAAAAAATAACCTATGGTGCGTCGCAGCGCAAAAGGCAATTAGGAATGATCCTGTTAATTCAGCAAGCATGATGCACCTATAGAGTTTTAAAGAGTATGCCTCACAATCTTTTTCATTTCTTAGGTGCCTACGAAAATGCAAATTCATAATGTAAGCGACTGTCATTGGGTAGAAGGCCTACATTTAGCAGTGGAAGTCTTGTGGCGGATATGATAAAACTAATGTCTCACTTCACCTTGAATCTTGCAGGTAGATAGTCTCAAGGGTCTCAAGTTAATTCGATTTAAACTTAGCTCTTTGAGAAAGTATTTCTTCTGAAAACTGGTTGCTTAGCACGCATGTAAGGATTAATTTCTAATAAGTAAGTCAAATTAGTAGAATCATCAACATTTTCATCATTAAGTCTATAAGTGGCCACTGCTGACCGAAGCCTCTTCTCGCATGGAGGTTTGAGCATTAATCACCATACTAGCTCAATGTGGGTTGGTAATTCAAACTTATAATAAGAAATTATAAGCCCATGTTTCCTCACAATGTTTTCCTTCACCATTCGTCAGCGGTGTCTTTGTACTTTCTTAGATTATTGAATATACCAATAACTCGGAAAAAAGACACATTGGACAAAAGGTACTTTGCCGTTGGTAGGTTTCGAACCCGCACTCTCATGCATGAGAAGCGGGCTTCTTAAACCTCTGGGCCACCACATTACAACTAAAGAAAATGTAAAATGAAAATGAACATTTTTGGTATAAAACTAAAGCTATCTAAATTAAATATGGCATTTATTTTATAGATTGATTCTTAAAATCACTTTTATCAAGATGGAATATATAGTTACTTACTAGGTTAAAATAAAACAAATGTATTATTTTGAAATACTTTTATTTCATTGTATTCAGGTTGTTTCTAGGAGTACTTCATCTAAAAAGAGAACAGGCCGTGTCATAGGTACAGCAGACATCAATTGCTGATATCTGTAAACAAGTAAGATAACTGTAAATAAAGTAAACAAAAGTACATTTTTTTCCTTTAGTTTTATATGTTATAATAATAAGTCTGATTCCCTATCTTAAAATGGAAAAGATAAAAATAAATATTTGATTACATTACTTCATTTTATAACATTTATTATAGTTATTTGTATAACACAGATCATAGGAGCTCAAACAGCATGCTAATTAATAAATTATAATTATAACATGAGTATAAACCTATTAGAAACCGCTTATATACTCCACATAGATACATAATTATGTAGGTACATTATATTGAGAATGCATACCTGTTGAAGCTTTGAGAGCCGAACAACATCATCCGGCCTCATCTGTTCTACAAATGGCAATGTTAAAGTGAGGCTTAGTCCATGTTTACATAATACATTACTTCCTGATAGTGAACACTGTGAGGTGGTATGTCAGGTTGTGGTTTTATAGTTTCGACTCTTGTACGGTCTCTCAGTCAGTATGGAACATGATCTTCATCATGGGAAGTAAACTAAAATAAGTAATATTATTAGAATATGATATTGACTTTAGATTACACTGTATATAGATAATAGTATGGTTAAATTATGCTTTATTACCTCTTGTGGCTGAATCCAATCAAATACTATATGAGCCAGTCTTTACTCCTGTTTGTTGGCGCCTTCAATTAAAACCCTGCATCACCTTATCATTGCAATGAATCACCCATATATGACACAAACATGCCAGTGACCAATTTGTTTGCTGGACATACTTTCAGCAACATCCCGATACATTGCTAATTGCCAGCAAGCATTGCAAATATGGTCGGTAGGAGAGATCTAGAATAAAAAGAATAAAATGATACATTATGGGTAAACTAGGTACTTACATCTCTAGGATAAGTCCACATTGGGATATTGTTGATCACGTCTAATCTTCACTCTCATTTTCTAGAGCATGCCGTCTCATGTGCGACAAACTCTGAATGCAATTAATACACTGTAAATTCATCATCGCGACAAATAACAACACACTGCACAAAATAATGTAAATAAGTGTCTTTTCGCAATTGTCACAACAATGATGCCAATAATACCAATTTGGGCTACGGAGGAACGGTTGCCAAACTCAACGTATCACCAGATGAATAAAATAACTTCAAATTCAACAAACACATCATAACATCGCATTTGAAACAAACAGCAATGCGCCAGTATTGACAAATTAATTGTCAATGTCATCAAGACAAATGCCAGTTCAACATTGCCATAATATTCAAGTTTGTTAAAATGTTAATTATCGTTAATAATCCATGTAAACGTAGATTTAGATTGGATGTAGATTTTTATATTTACTTATAAAAATGTTTGAAATGGAAAGGAAAATATTTCATTGATAGATATTAAAATAAATGAGTTTATGAAATAGCGAAATTCAATATGCTCTGATTTCATCTTAACGCATGGCAACTTTGTAAACGTCAATCGCGGTTCGTTTTACGTATAGTGGATTGCTTTTTATCATTATTGAATATCAGTTTTTCTAGGGTTTCCCAAGTTTTAAAAATCTATTAAAAATGCTAACATAACGTACTTAGGAGGTTCTATAATGACCCAATTTTTTAATGACAAATGGTTTTTTAGCGAAGCGGTACAAAATCTGCCGTTCTCCTTTCAGTGAAATTTTGAACATTTATACATTTACTTAGTAGGATATTATTGTTCATTACCAAAGTTTGGTTTGACCTAGACTTAGACTTTAAAGAAGGTCTCTTTATTGAATTCACTTTGTTAATATATTTTAAGCGAAAAAGGTATAAAGCAAATAATACTGTTATTACATTTTTTTTAGGGACTGCCACTTTGATTTAATGGTTGATTCGAATTGCGACTGGCGGGCAAGTGGTTTCGGGTTCGATTCCCAGGTCAGGCAAAGTATTCTCAGTAGTAACACGGATTCTGGAATTTAGCCCGGTATATGGCAATAGGATCACCCCCTATTACATGGGCCTCATAACATAAATAGTGAAAAGTGGGTGTTACATTGTACAGTGGTATTAAGTGCCGTAGATAATGTGCACCTCTGGGCTCTGCCTACCCTTTAGGGAATAAAAGGCGTTATGTTATAAGATTTTTCCGAATTAATATTTATGTTAATGAAAATGCTAATTCAGTGAAATAATTTTTGTATTCCAGTTATCCAATAACTTAAACACGAAAGTAGCAAAGAACGTGATCCTGTTCCTTGGAGACGGGATGAGTATCACCACCCTGGCTGCCACCAGGGTGTACCTGGGTCAGAAGTATGGACATCTGGGTGAAGAACTTAAGCTGAGCTTCGAAGCATTTCCTTATACGGGTTTATCTAAGGTATTTATACCTAAGGATTTGATTTTAGAGTTAGTTAGATTTAGAAATTTAAATTTAATGATTTTTTTTTTATATTATATTTCTACAGGTTTAACGATATTTTATAGATTTCGTTTAATAATGTACGGGGTGTAAGGTCGTAGGTAGATATCAAACGCATAAGTGACCGTAAAAGTTTATTGTTCAAATGGAGTTCAAAGCACTTTCTTAATGTTAATGTTTAATGTTAAAAAATGTTAGAAATGTTAATGTTTTGTTATATGATGAATGCACCCGTTCTGTTCGCGATCGACAAGTACACTAACGTGTCGTATGTTCATGTTAGGACAATACATGAAAACTGCTTCGCAAGCAGGTGTTCGGGTTTACACCGAACATATTCCGGGGCGGCGTAAGTTAGGATGAGATGAGATGAGAGTACAATTATGTTAGTTGGCGAATATGATGCTATCCTAAAGTTTAGTAGATGATATTTAAAAGTAAACAATGCTATGCTAATGATTACATTCAAGAGATACTACAGGAAACCTTATAATATAATCTTAAAGTCCCAATTTTTTGTTTTCGCAACACTACACTTTGATTGGCTTTGCACAAAACACTTATTCCACTTTACTCACTGGACTATCGGTTAGCCCTGTTATGTTCACGCACCAACACTACACACTACTCGCGACGTTAACACTTTGAAGTGCCATGTCGGGGGAGATGAGCACGCGTCGCATGCGACGTCGTCGCCACCGCCACAGGAACACGGCTGCCACCAGAACTGCTGCCAGGACGAGAGTATAGCTGACGACATAGTGATGTATGTCGTGCGGTGTCAGCAATTCGACTGGCTCAATACTTTCGTGTTTCATTTGTTTGATTTGTTTATAGAGTTTAAGAAGATCTACATCTATCTCTTCTTTACTCGTTTGGTTATCGTCATTTATATCAACTGGAATGCTCACGTTGATTATGTCGTTTAATTGATCAATGTTTGGCGAGTATATGTTTGGAGATACAGTTATGTTATTGATAAATGGTGTGTTTGAGTGCAACGTGAAGTCTTCTCCTTTAACTATACAACCTTCTTCAAGAAGTATTATCCCTGCTTGACTTAGTTGTTCGACTGTTACTTTTTCCCCACATATTATTTTAATCGGGTAATTGTTACAACAATAAAATAAATATTGAGAAGGATTGTGTAGTGGTATCCATCGGTTTGAACATATATTTTGTTCAATGTTGCATGTGTTTGTCTCATAATTAAAGTTGCAGAAATAGTTGTTATCGCTGCCTAGATGGTAAACAGGTTTCTTTATCAGGCACATATAATTTTCATCTCGTGTTTGGCATTCGGACAGTTCATTGCCGTTAATGGGAATATACGAGTCTTTCTTTAGGTTTACGGCAATATATTCTGATTTAGGGTAAATGGTGGTCATATTCTTTCCAAATTGTTTGGGTATCGGTATTACTCGGTAGAGCTTGTACCGGTCTCTACTGATTAGCGGTAAAGTTATTTGAAATATGAAGTATTCTTCAGTGATTCTTGTTTTTATTTGTAAAAGGTGATAAATGCTTGTGACATCTATTTGATCACCAGGTAGTGTTATGTCATCAGACAATTGGCCCGCAATCACGTTGAGTTCCTGCTGCAGCTGTTTAGGTGTTAAGAGATGCATGTTAAACTGGCCGTGGTGTATATCTGTTAAAGTATCTAATAGTGTTTCTTGATTTCCTCTTAATGTTTGCAGCAAGGTATTGGCAGTTAAGGCGGCTACTATCTGACTTTGAACTTCACTGATATTGGACACAGCTTGCTGAATGCTATTAGTTAATTTCTCAAGTTGTAGTAAATGGTTTTATTTTTGTGTTGTCTGTGGATTATTTCTTTAGTTCTTTTTAGGATGTTATATTCCGACTCTACAATAGATGTTTGATTTTTCCATAATTTTGCCAAATGATTTTGATTTTGTTTTAGAAGGTTTATGTCCTTTGTGTATTGTTCCGCAAACCGCTCGTCTAATACTCCGAAGAGATAATTTGCTGCATAGCCAAGACCATTGATAAGGCCCCGACGCTGTCTGGAGTGTTCGATGAAATGTTGAGTCATCAAAAGCGTGTTATAATATTGTAGTTCCATGAACTCGTGCTGGAGTTGTGGTACTATCATTTTACATACCGCACTGTCTGTCGTAGTACAAGTTTTATCTAAATGAGATATTAGTTTGTTTAATGCTGTTGTTCCTTCCCAGTAAGGCGACATGTCATAATAAATTACGAATGTCCATTTATCGCGAATTAAATTCATTTTAGCCACTGAGTCAAAATATAAAGACTGTTCTTTTCTTATTTTCATAATGTTATAACTCCCATGCACCGTGTTTGTTAATATTGTCATAAATAATAGTAAGGTCATAGCCAATGATGCGAAATTAATTCGACCAGGTTTGATTGAGCTTTGCTGTTTTGGCTCGTTTATCTCTGGTTCCTTAGCGTCTGACACGTTCATGGGTAACAGAGAAAGTTTGATAACGGGTCTCTTTATGATTCCGTTTTTAGTTTTTAGTGAGACGACTCGAACCAAGCCGTCCTTACCCGGGTGGAGTTCGACCACTCGTCCCATAGGCCATTTTCCAGTAGGTATATTGTTTTCCTGAAGTATAACTAAATCACCTATTTTTAAATTCGGCTTTGGTCTCAACCATTTACTTCTTACGTTTAATTGGCAGAGATATTCTGTTTTCCATCTTCTCCAAATATCCTCAGATATTTTACGAACCAAATACCAACGTTTCCTTGCATCATTCTCTGTTTCGATAATTGTTAAACCTGCTCGGCTTGTTAGGAAATGAGCTGGAGTTAAACAGTCAATATCTTCTATGTTTTCTGATAAAGGACACAGTGGTCTAGAGTTGAGGCATGCTTCCAACTGAGCTAGGATTGTGGAGTATTCCTCGAATGTGAGTTTTTGCTCACCAATGACTCGCTTCAAATGAAACTTGAGGCTCCTGACTGCTCTTTCCCACAAACCCCCTGCGCTGGGCCAAGAAGGGGCGTTGAAATGCCAGTCGATGTTGTATTCTGTTATTTCTGTTAATAACTTGTCATTAAATATTTGTTTTAACTGTTGATACTCTTGTTGTAATAGGTTATTAGCTCCGACAAAGTTTGTACCTTGGTCACTATAAATGTGACGTGGAGCTCCTCGTCTAGCTGCCATCCTCTTTAAAGCAGCCAGGAAAGCAGAACTTGTTAGGTCGGACACTAGTTCTAAGTGTACGGCCTTGGTGACCATACAAATAAAAATCGCCACATATCCCTTGGTTGTTCGAACTCCTCGCCCTTTGTTGGCTTTAATTTCCACAAAGCCCGTATAGTCAACGCCACTGTGGAAAAATGGAGGCGCCGGGTTACTTCGTTCCTCAGGAAGGTCACCCATTAGCTGTTGTTGTCTTTTTGTATCATGTTTTCGACAAATGATACATGTTCTTATTTGTTTCTTTGTAGTATTGATTCCCCTCGTTATCCAATATTCTTGTCGCAGTTTAGCTAAAGTCACTTGGGGTCCACCGTGAAATGTTAGTAGATGTGCTTCATTGATAAGAAGTTCTGCTAATCGACTTTTATGATGAACGATTTTGGGATGTCGCCTCTCCTCGTTTATGTTGGCATGTTTTAGTCTTCCACCTACGCGTAATAATCCATCCGAATCAATAAATGGATTTAAATTAAGTAACAGGCTTTTAGATCCTACATTACCTTGTTTATGTAAATGTTCTATATCTGTTCCAAAGTCTTTGTTTTGCATAAATTTTATCATAATTGTTTTCGCTTCCCGTAACTCTTGCAATTTGAGATAGTCCGGTAGTTGTTTACGATGATGTTTAGGAATGATAGCGCGGCGTATCCATGCTAACACTCTTGTTATTTTGTTTATATTGTTAAATCTATCAAATAATTGTTCGATAATGTTCGGAGTTGTTTCTTGTACAATGTTTATTTGTTTCTGAAAAATCTTAACTTCTTCATAATTTTCGAATTGTTGATGTTCAGGTTCATTTTCTGGGTTCCAGCTTTGTAGCCATTGTGGCCCATGCCACCATAACTTATGATTCACTAACTGCGAAGGTAATAGACCACGGCTGGCGCAGTCTGCTGGATTTTCCGACGTTTTTACATAATGCCAGCGTTCAGGAGGTATTACTTTTGTTATTTTGCCCACTCTATTAGCTACGAATACCTTCCACCGATTTTGATCACCTTTAATCCAGCTGAGAGCCACCATGGAATCGGACCATCCGTATATTTCTAGCTTGTTTGTTACTGATTGTTGTATTTTAGATATAAGTTTAGATAGTAAGTATGCACTGCTCAGTTCTAGTTTCGGTATTGTTAAGGCCTTTTTATGCGGTACAAGTTTTGATTTAGCAGCTATAATTATTACATCTGATTGATGTTTTATACGTGCATATGCGACACATCCATAAGCGTCCGTTGATGCGTCGCAGAATGCGTGGATTTCGATAATATCGTTTTTGTTATTTCTAAACCATCTTGGTATCTCACAATCTCGTATATTGTGAATATCCTTCTTAATAGAGTTCCATTCGTTAATAATGTCATCCGATACTTCGTCATCCCATTGTAAATTATTCTTCCATAATTTTTGGAAAAGTAATTTTAATTTAGTTGATAATGGTGTTAGCCATCCTAACGGATCAAATAGCTTGGATATCTCGGATAATAAGTTGCGTTTTGTTGGTTTAGATAATTGTTTAGCAAAATCAAATCTGAATAAAAAATTGTCTGTTTTTGTATCCCAACAAAGGCAGAGTTTGAAGTAGATTCTGATTTCAAATTAAATACAACGTCTGTGATTGTATCTTCATTTTTTGGTTGGTGTAAGTGTTCGATCAGTTGAGGTTCATTGGAAGCCCATTTTCGTAGGTTAAATCCTCCTGATTTTAACAGCGAAATTAAGTCATTTAATAGACTTTTCCCTTGTTCAATTGAATGAAACCCATGGACCACGTCATCCATATAGCAATTGTTATCTAATATGTATGATGCATCCGGGAATGTTTTTTGTTCGTCAGCAGCAAGTTTCTTTAATGTCATTAAAGCCAAAAATGGCGCTGCCTTTGTTCCGTATGTTACTGTAGTAAGTTGATAAGATTTTATAGGTTGATTAGAATTGTTTCGCCAAATTATTTTTTGCAGATGTTGATCCAATTCGCTTACCTGAATTTGCCGATACATTTTTTCAATGTCAGCGGTATATGCGAATGGATATTGCCTCCACTTGAGTAATAACAATTGCAAATCTTGTTGGAGGTTAGGTCCTTTATGCATTAAATCATTGAGGCTGTACCCAGTTGATGTGCGAGCGGACGCGTTAAAAACTACTCTATATTTCGTGGTAGTTGATTCCTCCCGTTGAATACCATGGTGCGGTAGATAGCAGTCTGGTGTAATGTTATTGTTAAGTGCTAATTTCATGTGTTTTAATTCTAAATACTCGTTCATAAATGTTTTGTAATGTTGTGACAATGTTTCTGAGCGCTGGAATTTACGCTCTAGGCTTCGGAACTGTGCCAAGGCCATTGGCTTTGATGAACCTAATTTGTTTTCTATATTTTCTTTCATGGGCAAACGCACTTCGTATCGTCCATCTTCCTTTCTGCTTGTAGTTTTCAAAAAGAAGGAGACACTTTCTTGTTCTTCCACAGACATGTTTGATGGCTCTGTTATTTCTTCTACCTCCCAAAATTTGTGTATGTCCTCCAAATCATGTAAGACAACATTACACCGAAATGTTTTGTTAGTGCCCCCACATAATATCCACCCGAGGTGGGTTTGTTGAGCTATAGGTTGGGATGGGTCAGATCCCTTAATTATACCTTCCATGAGAATGTTAGCATAGACTTCGGCCCCAAGTAGCAAGTCCACAGGTTTACTTATATAGTACTCAGGGTCCGCCAATTGTATGCTTTCAATAAAAGACCAGGAGGGCTTGTTAAATGTTTGATTAGGGAGATTTTTGAGGAGATTGTTCATAATTAGAACTTGTGTTGAGAACTTATAGTCGCTGTTAGTTGATTTACATGTTATGTTGAGCATTCCTTTGCAGGTATTTTGTTTTTCACCCACTCCGAGAACGGTACCTTTACATTTTTGACGCTTAATTTTTAACATCTGAGCAGCCCTTTCTGTTATCAATGAGATTTGCGAGCCCTGATCGATAAGAGCTCGCATGACATGGTAAGTACCATCAGCCGCTATTACGCTTACAAGCGCTGTTGCAAGCAAAATTTCCGTGTTACCATCCTGGGAAGCATTCGATACTTTCCCACAGTTCGTATCACTTTTAGTAACTTGAGAGGTTGACTTAATAAAAGCGTCATGTAATAATGTATTATGAGGAGCCATACATTTGCGACATTGTTTTATTGAATTGCATTGTTTCCCATTATGGCTAAACAAACAATTTATGCACACTTGCAATTTCCTTGCCGTTGCAAGTTTTTGTTCACAAGGCAATTCTAGGAAAGTTTTGCAATTGTACAATCCGTGTTCACCGCTGCAACGTGGACATTTGATCCTGGACACGTGAAACGATTTTGTTTGATGTTCGCGGTTCTCATAATTATGTTTGTTTAATGTTTGATTTAAGTTATGTTTCTTAAAGTTTGTTGATGATTGAGACGAAATGTTAAAACCACTCTTATGGTGGGAGGTATCTTGTTTACGACGAACTGATTCTAAACTAATAAATTTAGTTTCCAAGAAATCTAAAAATTCTTGTAGAATCGGTAGCTCTCGGGAATTTTTGAGTGACTCAATATAGTCGTAATAGGAATCAAAGTCCAATTTTTGGGATAAGATGTGGACTACCATCGGATCCCACGTACTTATATCAATATCCAAATTACGAATAGCATTTAAGGCATTCTAATGTTGTATCATGTATTTTCTTAATTTGTGGCAATGATTGCTGTTGCATGTTAGGAAGGCTTAAGATTGTATTTAAGTGGGCAGAGAATATTGCCCTTTTATTGTTGTATCGGTGTTGCAGAATGTCCCAACATACAGAATAATTATCCGAGCTTATAGATAAATGTTGGATTAACCGTTCGGCTTCGCCTTTGACCTTGCCCTTTAAAAATTGCATTTTTTGGGCATTCGAAAGCGCAGGATTATTGTGTATGGCTTCTTGAAACAAATCTTTGAAGGACATCCATTGGTTGAAATTGCCGTGAAAAGTAGGTATTTCTAGTTTAGGGGTAGACTTCTCCCTATGAACTACAGACCACATTTTAGTATTAATTGCCTTTTTTAAAGTGTTGAATTGCTTTTCGTGAGATAAATAACTTTCTTCGTATTCTTCGTTTTGATCAATTAATTCAGAATCAATTTCCCAGTGAAGAGAATCTATTGTAGACCACCTAGTTTGCAATGTTTTAAGAATATCTTCAAATTCCCATTTGTCCGAAATATGCTCTAAATTAATGTTTGAGACAGTTCTAGAAAAAGCTTTAAAATTAGCTGCCTGCTTACGCAGTAAATCGTTTAATTTGTTATTTGTGCCTTGATTCACCTGCCATGCGGGACGATTTGTTAAGCTAAATGCTTTTGTTTTATGTTCTTCTCTCGACTGCTGTTCTGTTGATAACTGCTCCGTCTCCGACTTCATTTCTAACGACATACTCTCGGTAGGCTGCTCGTGACCTCCACTGCCAGACGGAGCTTCCAGCAACTGTTGTTGCATCTCATTGATTAATGTTCTCACAGCTTTATACGATTTTAAAGTCTTCTCAAATTCTTGTTTTGTAAAATAAGCATGCGTCGAGCTTATTTCCGTAGTAAGGCGATCATGATTGTACTGGAATTCTTTCCAGTAATCATCTAAATTATTTAAACATCTTTTAAGATATTCAAATGTTCGTCTTTGTTGAGTTGTTTTCTTTAGATTAATACCGATTTTTTCAATGTTAATGGCGAGAGCTAATTGAGAATCGTATAACTCAGCCATGTTTTTAAGTTAACTGCGTAAGTCTTCCAAAGCAAGAGTTAATAATGGAAAGATCTTACTTGTTTGCTGTTATACCACCGTCAGGATTCCGATGGCCAAGGAACGAGCACCAGCGCTGGACATCACTTTAGTCCTCACAATACGCACTTACAAAGTTCACACCACACTCGCGTTCACTTTCGGCTCGCGAGAGATCCGGCTCGAAGGACCATTATGTACGGGGTGTAAGGTCGTAGGTAGATATCAAACGCATAAGTGACCGTAAAAGTTTATTGTTCAAATGGAGTTCAAAGCACTTTCTTAATGTTAATGTTTAATGTTAAAAAATGTTAGAAATGTTAATGTTTTGTTATATGATGAATGCACCCGTTCTGTTCGCGATCGACAAGTACACTAACGTGTCGTATGTTCATGTTAGGACAATACATGAAAACTGCTTCGCAAGCAGGTGTTCGGGTTTACACCGAACAAATAATATGTTTAATATTAATAGTAAATGATTTTAATTTATTAAGAATTTATAATTTATATGATGAAGATTATACTATATTAAAAAGAATATTTATTTTATTATTTATAAGAATTATTAGAGGTAGATTTTTAAGTTGAATAATTTTTTCTTATCCTTATATAATTTATTTACCTTTTAATTTAAAAATAATGGTTATTTATGTAAGATTAATATTGGTGGAATTTTAGGTTCATGGAATGACAAAACAAATTATTTCTGATCAGGGGCACTTTGAATCGATTGATCGAAAATTATTGATGAAAAATTTTGGACAGATGTAACAAATTTATCCTTTATCCCCATTACTTTGAGTCGATTGATAATCTGTTTTTATGAATTCCAAAGAATCGAATTTACAGTTCGTCTGATTAAAAGTATTTCAAGGTCGTCCGCCTCAACACAAAGTTACAATCTTAAAACAAAATTACATAAAAAAATTTAAGGATGTGCTTTTAATAAATTTTCAGACTTACTGCGTAGATAATAACGTCGCAGATTCTGCGTGCAGTGGTACTGCCTACCTCTCAGGGGTAAAGGCCAACAGTGGGACTGTGGGACTCAGTGCGGCTGTCAGACGTGGGGATTGTAAGGGACAGAGAGACGGCCTGCATTCTGTTACTGGTCTTATGGACTGGGCCCAAAAAGCTGGGAAAGGAACCGGTGAGTTATTCGGAGATGTTGATTCTAAAGTGGTTATAGATGTGATCAAAATTTAAAAACAGGATGTCCATATTATCTGTCTTTATATAATTCGGTATATCGATGGTCAAAGGTAATTCACATAGTTTAAAATGTTTTCCTTTATCTTACAGATACTTACTACTTGTTTGTTTCTATGTTTGTTTGTTTGAAAGCGCTTATCACCGAAACTGTTGGCCCGATTTGAATAATTCTTTTTGTATTGGATAGTTCATATATTGAGGAAGGCTATAAGCTAAGACATCATACTAAAACCAATAGGATCCGAACAGGGCGGCCGCTAGTTTGTTAATAAAGAAACCGCCAATCAACAGTTTTAAGGCTTATGGTTCACAAAGATACTAAAATCTTCCATAATTTCTTCCAGGCCTTGTAACCACAACGAGAGTGACACATGCTACTCCAGCGGCAGCATACGCTCACTCAGCAGACAGGAGATGGGAGACTGATACTGATCTGCCGAAGAAAGGACTTCGCTGTGAGGATATCGCTACCCAGATGGTGAAGGGACAAGTTGGCAGTAAAATTGATGTAAGTATCATGAGTGTTGACAATTTACTGTTTGATTGAATAAAAGGGATAGGCAGAGGTGCACATCACGGCACTTGATGCCACTGTACAATGTAACACCCACTTTTTCTCTATTTATGTAATGAGTCATAGTCATAGTGATAGGGGGTGAGACTATTGCCATATACAGGGCACAGTTTCAGACTACGTGCTACTACTGAGATTAAAAAAAAATCCCATAATACTTTGCCTGACCCGGGAAGAGAACCCGAGACCCCTTGCCCGGCAGTTGCACTTGCGACCACTCGGTCAATGAGGCAGGCTTATTTGAAAACAAAGATATTTTAAAAATGATTGAGCGATTACTCTGAATCGGACAAATGATCTTGTGTAGCTTAAAAAAACTATCCTGACCTTCTTACTTGTTTACATACCATATTATTGCTTTTTTCCTTGACTGAGCTTTGACCAAAATGACTTGGAAGGAATGCCATATGCATTCCATAACTCAGATACGGTGCTCAATAGGAATGATGACGGGGTATGCCAATTAAATAAATATTTAGTCTGATAGGTAATAAAAAATATTATACATCTTTTTTATTTTTTCGTATAAAATCTATACTTACTTAGATAAAACGAGGGATCTAACTGCGTACGTGATTTCTACGTATATAACGTACTTAGAAGTGATGTCATACGATGTTTATCGTGTCATGATGTATCATTTAAAATATTTGTTTTTTGTAAGAAAATAAAATGCGTCTTATATTTTAAAAAGACCTACCAGACGGACAATAAAATACAAATTAGTCATTTACCCTATTCTCTGTCAGACCCATTATTTTGTACACAATATTATACTGTCTATAAAACAAAAATCCGTTTTCCAGGTCATACTGGGAGGAGGGCGCAGAAACTTCTTCCCTAAAACTCAAACTGATCCTGAAGGGTACCGTGGCTACAGAAGTGATGGCGTAGACCTCATAAGAGAGTGGAAAAAACGGAAGGAGGCCCTGGGAGTCTTTCCTAGATTTGTGTACAATAAAGAAGGACTATTGAAATTAGATGATTCCCTATATCACAGCGTCTTAGGTCTATTTTCCCCTGACCATATGCCCTATCATTTGGAAGCGGGCGATGATGACCCAACTCTAACTGAAATGACCCAGAAAGCTATACTAATGCTGAAGAAGAAGAAGAATGGGTTTTTCTTGTTTGTTGAAGGTTAGTATAAATAAATTCCAACGAATTAAGTCACTCAATATTTTTATTGCATTCCACACGTGCCTTTATTAATTTGTTATTATCCTTTTGAGGTAATCTCTGCCGATTTAGGAATGTATATTTTGTTCTTGTATATTAAGTCATTGATTACAGAATTATTATTACCTACAAATGGAACCATGAAACCAATGTATATATACTGCATATCACGGACACGTTGTTTCTCTTCTTCGGTATGGGATAATCTCCTGGGGCAACTCAACTTACAAAGAAATAATATTCATATCTCAAAAGAGGTGTGTTAGGGCTATTTGTAAACTAAGCCAAACCGACAGCTGTAAACCGTACTTTATTAATTTAAATATATTGACTGTACCATGTATCTACAATATCTACATGTACGAAATGTTAGTATTTGTAAAGAATAATATTAAACTGTTTGACTAATTGAAAAGTAAACGCTATAATAATCACATATGTTTCCCGAGTAATAGAACGCATTTTCTTAATAATAGCGTTTTTTGTATGGCCCCAAGATACAACCATTTGCTAAACGAATTGCTACATATACAATCTTTGAAGGTTTTTAAAAATAGAATAAACAGGTTTTTAATATCTAAGGCATATTATAGTGCTACTGAATACTTAGAAGACAAAATATGATGTTTTTTAAATAAATTTTTATCATGTTTTTATTTAAATATTGACATTTTGTTTGTTTAATATTGTGACATTTAAATTTATAATCCTATGTTACCTAATAATTAATAAATTCTAATGAAATTCAGTAATATTAATCAATCCTGCTGACTGACTGCCTCATTGGCCGAGTGGTCGCAAGTGCAACTGCCGGGCAAGGGGTCTCGGGTTCGATTCCTGGGTCGGGCAAAGTATTACTGGGTTTGTAAAAACCTCAGTAGTAGCACAAAGTCTGGAAATGTAAATAACATAAATAGTGAAAAGTGGGTGTTACATTGTACAGTGGCATTAAGTGCTATAATGTGCACCTCTGCCTACCCCTTCGAGGATAAAAGGCGTTATGTTATATATGTATTAATCAATCCAAATCATTGTTTCCAACTATTTTCTAATTTTGAGTGCTGAAAAAGCTAACATAGCGTTAAAAAATGTTATTTAAGACCCTAATGTTACCTATGTTAACAATTCATTAAATGAATTTGAATCTATATATGTAGAGGTATATAAAAGAAAGTCGTGTTAGTTACACTATTTATAACTCAAGAACGACTAAATCGATTTAGATGAAAGTTGACGGGGAGGTAGCTTAGATCTAGGAGACGGACATAGGATACTTTTTATCTATTTTTTTTAACTTTTACCAAAAATCACGAACGGGAACGGAGGGAAAATGGTATTGCGCGTACGAAGTCGCGGGCAGAAGCCAGTATAATATAGAAGAAGGTTGTGTTAATTACACTATTTATAACACAAGAACGGCTGAATCGATTTGGATGAAAATTAGTGGGGAGGTAGACTAGCTCCAGGAGACGGACATAGGATACTTTTTATCTAATATATTTTCGTTTACTTTTTACCGAAAATCACGAACGAGAACAGTTAAAAACGGGATTCCTCGTACATCGTACGTAAGCCGCGGGCAGAAGCAAGGTATTAAATAAGTAAATTTGTGATTACCTATTTAACTAAATTCTATGTATCAATGTTTACAGGAGGAAGAATAGACACAGCTCACCATGAGACTAAAGCACGTAAAGCGCTCGATGAGACCGCTGAATTTGCTAAAGCGGTTGAAGCGGCTTTAAGACTAGTGGACTTACAAGAGACACTGGTCGTAGTAACTTCTGACCATAGCCATACTATGACGTATAGTGGATATAGTAAGAGAGGCTCTGACATCTTAGGACTGGTTAATAAGGTAAGAATTTATAAATATTCAATTTAAATATGCTGTGGCGACGCATGCCACATGTCAACGGATGACGTCACAGGAATCCTACATCGCACATGCAAAGTTTACAAGCGAATAAACACGGATAGAAAATCCCAACGAACAACTCTTGGGCAAAAAGCCTGCCAGGCACGATCACCTCGCCTGGTCGGAGGATCCTCCTTTTCCGATCTTATGGAACTATACTCTCTGTTCCCTAAAATGCTATATTAACTTCTTCTGCGTGGTTTTAGCCGCTCTGTGAGTGATCGATCGACATTGGTATTGTGAAATTTCGTACTCTTGAGTTGCAACACTAGCGTCCATTGCATCCGTATTCCGTGGATACTTAATGAACTAAATGGTATTGAGTTTGGCTTTATATTCCGTATTCTGAATCTGAAATGTATTTTAACAGCTGTGGTAGGGTTGTATAGTTTTGACATTGAATAATAATTGAGATTTTATTAGATATAAATAGCATTGACATTGATATTGGTTTCAAGAGTAAGCACCATATTATTCACACACACAATTTGTATTATATAGTCTTTCTCTATAAATAGACTATGCAGCATAAAAATAATTCTTAAATCGAACTAGTAGTTTCAGATATTAGCGCATTCCAACACACAGACTCTTCAGTTTACATATAATAAATATATAAGATTATTTTAGCGAAAGAGCAATGTATTATAAAATATGATCAGTGATACTCACGTCACTATTCTTCATGTTTTGTTTTTTGATCTTATTTGGTCACAACTTCAGACCAAATACCTTTTAAGGTACGTCATTGGGAAACACAGAAAATTTAAAATAATTCGCGAGACGGTGTGTGTATTATGAGGTACCTACCGTAAAATGGAGTGGATAGAGAGAGAATAGATATTGAGAAATTCGTCATAGTATCGGTCCATCCCTCTTCTATCCCTATTCACATCTCGATCCCTATTCACCCCAATTTACCGTTACCTTAGGATTACTTACTTTATGCAAATGTGTATCTCTATTATGTCTTACAGAATAATGCATCTGATAATTTGCCGTATGCTACCCTGAGTTATGCCAATGGACCAGGGTACAAGGAGGCTGGCAGGTTCCACCGGTTCAATCTAGCGAAGGATGACTTCAGTAAGTTGAATCTACATAATTATTATTTGGGCTTGTATTTGTGTACCTTGTTTATGTGTGTTGTGACGTAGTAAATGGTTTTTGTTTCCTTCTTTATTCTTTCTTGTATCATTGTGTAGCGTAAAAACATTATAAAAGATGGCTGACTTTTATCAATCATTCCCATGTTAAGGAGTAAATAAGCCACGTTTTTTATGGCAAAACTAAGCAAACGAGTTGAACGAGTTCCAAAAACTGTAAATTTATGTTTGTTGAGAATTTCAAAAATCACTCTTTAAACAGTATTGTTTGTTAGTCATATTTATGGCTGATCTATCGCGTAATTATGAACTCTGCACTCGATAATTGAATAACTTGATATAACCAAGAAATTACGATAAAATTCCGTGTTTAATGCCGGAATACTGAAACGTTACTCAATTTTAAGTCATGCTCGAATATCGTGCCATCTCTGTCATTTTACAAAAAAATTGTAGAGATAGAAATATACTTAAAATTGAGTAGCGTTTCAGTTTTCCGACATAAGCCTTCCTAGTAATGGCAAATCATTTTCTACAACTAATAACTCATACTAAATCAACTAAAAATCGCGTGTAGATAGATAGTAGGCTGTGCGACATCGCCGCGAACGCGTACGCCGCACATAAGGAAGAGCCCGTCAGTGGCTCGAAAACAGTAAAAATTTTCACGTGAGTAGCCTGAAATTTTTAGGTAATAAACTATAACTCAATTACAGATGACGTAAACTACACATACCCGTCTTTAGTGCCGATAAATCGGGAGACTCATGGAGGAGAAGATGTCGCAGTCTTCGCAAGAGGACCCTGGTCACATCTTTTCACAGGCAGTTTTGAGCAAAATTTTCTACCTCATGCCATAGCATACGCCTCATGTATAGGCCCTGGACTCACTACCTGTAAATCAAAATCCAGATCACCATAAATATTACATTATTTTAGTAAAAATTCCACCCCCAAACTCGGAACAATGTAGAAGTTTTTCCGAGTTTGGGTGTCGTTACACCTCATGTTTCCGACTTTGTGTGTAACGTTTCCGACTTTGGGTATAATGTTTGGTTATGTTATACCCAAACTCGGAATTGTATTGTTGTTGTTTGTAGGATATTTGTGCTAGAAGATAAATTTTATTATTATGATGCTGGATCATTATTTTATTTCATGAATTTGAAAGTGTTGATATGTTTTAGGATGATATATTGTTTCAAGACGTTTTTAATTTTTGACCTATTGTGACATAGTTAATAAAAATGTTCAGGTTAACGACATTTTATCTGAATATTTTAGTAGTTTAGGGTTGATGCTGAATAATAATCAGTTGACCTTATTAAGATTCAGTGCGTTTGAGGCGTTTCAGCTAATGAGTGGAACAATTGCTACAAACTTTTCAAGCACCCATTATGGACACTTTCTAGACTTCATTATGGATTTCTAAATCTTACTATCTGATTTTACTCTCAGCCTAAATGAACTGTTATAATAAAAGGATCTTGTTAATCACCCATCTTTAAATCGACCTTGGTCAGCATGTAATTTACTCCCAAGTCTATCTTTTAATGATATCTAAAGTTCGAATAAGACTATAATTGAACGAAGCAATTTATTTCTTTCCTTTTAAAATTCAATTTTCGGGTTTTCCATACTACTTCCTAGTAGAGACTTCCTCAGACCGACCGCTACCAATCATTGTAAGGAAAAAAAAGTAATGGAATTAAATATTTATTATTTGATTATGCTAATGCGATTCCTCGCAATTTTCAAATATTTTTTTAAATAAATTGAAGCAATTTTGAACTTTATCAACAAATTGCTACAGAGTCTTATCGCAAAACGTATTTGATTTGTATATTTACATTCAAAATAGAGCCTTATTTAATTTCCATTGTGGTTTGAAATTGTTTGCTCTAGGTGTATTGTATTTGTAAATATAACACGTAGTCGGTATTTTAATTACAAAAGTAAATATTTCGTTCGTAATTTGTTGAATTGTAAATTAAATTAGGCATTTTATTTTTGTGTGTACCAATTTGAAATTCGAATGAATATCTACCACCCACTTACTTTTTGAACATTTAGTTTATTTTGCAAGTATTTTAACACGATATTATTTCAATATTATACTTGGTTTATAGTCTGCATTAATTGATTAGTATTTTATAGAAATGCAACTTAAAATCTTTATTTTCCGTAGACATCTTAATCGTTACACAAAATTATTTTTTAAACTCGAAAATTCGTAATTCTTGGTGTAATTTTAATGGGGTGTAAAAGAATAATAAGGCACACTGCTAAAATATGTTTTTAATTTTTTTCTATACAATTATCAAACACAAGAATATTATTTATGACTTTTTGTACAGTTTAAAATAATTAATTATAAGTTATGTTTTAATTTAGTTTTAATTTTAATTATAAGTAGATAGTAAGTATTTTTATACGATAATTTGGTAATAAATAAATTGTATTAAAACTGTGTTTTCTGTATCTATATCTCTTAGACATTAAGGACTTATTTCGGGTTATAAATATACCACTGCTGAGAAAAAGTCTCTTCTCACACAGGGAACAATCACAGCTCAACCTATAAATATTATAAACATATGAGTAAAGCAACCGGAGGCCAGTCAGATTTGAGGATAAGGGATCCTAAAATCTCTAAATCCGAAATTTTTTTTGAGGTTGATCCAAGAAATGGCTAAATAACACATACATACATACATCACGCCTTTTATCCCTGAAGGGGTGGGCAGAGGTGCACATTATACCACTGTACAGTGTAACACCCAATTTTCACTATTTATGTTACGAGTCCCATGTAATAGAGGGTGAGCCTATTGCCATATACCGGGCACTATTCTAGACTACGTACCTACATACGTGCTACTACTGAGAATTTTTTAAAACCCAATAATACTTTGTCCGACCCGGGAATCGAACCCGAGACCCCTTGCCCAGCAGTCGCACTTGCGGCCACTCGGTCAACGAGGCAGTGGCTAAATAACATTCTTATTTTATTGGATAAGCCGACGTAAACGACCAGACGGATCACCTGGTGGTAAGCAATCGGTGCCGCCCATGGCCACCTGAAACACCAGAGGCGTTACAAGTGCGTTACTGGTCTTTTGGAAATTGGGAATTTGAGGATTGTGGGGGATTCGGGGATTGGGGAGACTTGGGAGGGGAGTAATTGGGCCTCCGGTATCCTTACTCACACGACGAAACACAACGCAAGCGTTGTTTCACGTTAGATTTCTGTGAGGCCGTGGTATCACTCCTTCGCAAACATAATACAGTCTTCCGTTTAGATTTCTATTGTAACAAAAATTCATGTAAAACAATTACAAATAAATTGTGGTTTAACCGAAAGTAATGAGCAGTAGTTAATTGTAGTTAGGTGTAGCTTTGTGAAGCGTTTGTCGTTACAAATTTAGGTCAATGGGGTCACCGAGTTGCTTTGATGTAATACAAAGATATTTAGATATTTAAATGTATCTATATATATATACCTACTTGGATTATGGAATTTTCCGTGAGTAGATTCATTGTTTAGGTATTTTATAGTTTGCCAAATTCATACAACGATACATTTCGTGACGTCATAATGTAACCAAGAATTGTATTGTGAACCTGATTGAAATAGAGGAACCTGTGGAGTTTCTTACTCGTTCTTCTCCATAGGAATCTACACTTTGGAACGAGACTGACTGACTGACAATTTTTCTTTAATACATATTAAAATTTTAAATAAATTGTTTTGACGCTCAAATATGTCTTCGTGGTCTAATTGAAATAAATGATTTTGACTTTGACTTTTACGTTGAATGTTTATGCTTCAAAAGTTCTTAAAAATAGCCAAAAATACGTAAATTATAGATACACAAAAATGTTATTTTACTTGATTTGTTTAAAGCCTTAATACTTGAACATTTAATAATCGTTTAAACATTATTGATGGTTTCTGGTTGGTACTCTAATGCTAGATACAAATAAACTAATGGCTAAAAATAGGTAACACGTTATACATATGAACTGGGTAAAAGTCCATTTATAATTTCCAATTTTTTTTGAAAGGGACAAGCCCGCCACAACCTCCTAAAACCGCTGCAACTCTTGTAAGCCAGGATCTACAGTAGATACAACCATGAAAACACCGGTACATTGAAGTCCGGCGCGTCCCAGGGACATGAGTAACTGTCTTGGTTCCCGCAACGAAGTAAATCAGAAGATAATTATAAGAGGAGAAGAAGAAAAAAAAACTATAGTTTCCACTTCCCTCGGTGAATTTCTGCAGGAGACAGAATGAATTAAGCCTAAAGGCACAAAGAAGAGACTGTACAACTGGGTGAAGCCCAGTCGCCAAGCACCACGGAAATTTGACTAAAAACTAAGTGGGTCCTATGATGATGAGCTTGCTTGCTTGCTTCCAATAATAGTTATGGCAAAAATAATTTCCATTGACCAAATTGGAAAATAAATCAGAGATGCCCCAATACTAGTAACCACACGAATAACGGAGTAATATTTTACAAAGCCTATAAATTCCGATATCATTCCGAACACCTGTGTCTGTCATAACGGGCAGAATGACAGCGTAATCCTCATATTAGACATAATTTTTCAGTATCATTGGTTATTAATTGTACTGAGATTATCCAATTTTAAATACGAATGTGTTTTTAATAAAAAAAATATAAGTACTGATAGAGCTTATTGAACAGTGGTTAAAATGGAAGCTAACTTCTTCTCTTAACTATGTACTAAGCTACATAGTAAGGCAATATTTGACAAACTAACTTCAGTTCCCTAAGTTTTAATCAAAAGGTTTTTTTTAAGGGGAGAAAATCGTCGAATGACTTCTTCCGCCTGGGTGCCGCCCCATTCTTACTCCTGCACTTCGAGCCGGAGCCCCGGTAACCCGTTATGTTCTCCGTGGCTAATCAAAAGGCTTACTAAACAGCAACATATAATTCTTATTCTCATACCGTATTATTTTCTTCTTAATTTGTGAAATAGGTTGGTAAACGATCAGGTGGATTACTTGATGGTAAGCAATCGGCGCTGCCCATGGATATAGTAAGGAGAGAGTAGAAGCCCAGAGTAGTTAGAAGTGCGTTGCCGAACTTTTGTGGATTCGTGGATAGGGATTTTTTTAAAGGACGCAAATCTTCGAATTCATTGAATGGCTTCTCTCGCTTGGGTGAGGCGGGTGGGAGTGTCAGACTCTTACTGAATATAAACCACCCCGTTCCTACTCCTGCCTTTCGAGCCGGGAGCCCCGGGACGCCCCGGCAACCCGTTAGGTCCTCCGCGGCTCCGAAATAGGGGGCAAGGTAGAATTTGCCTTATGTAACCTTATTCACACTTCGGAACACAATGCAAACGTCTCGAACTGGTTTCCTGTGAGACATATCCTGGATAGCTGGTCATTTTTTCATTTTTTAGTTGAAAAAATAATTCCCCATAATATATTCAAAGGTTACCGTTACATAAACAATCCTAATATAAAAAAATCTTAGGGTCGATTTCTCAATGCTCAATTAAATTTTAACAGAAGAATAACTTTGAATATTTGACAATTCTTCCATACTAAAAACTGTCGAATATCAATTTTATTCCAAGTACCTACAGTTTAGAATTAAATGATGATTGAAAAATCGACCCTTAGTACATAATCGTTCACGTCTCAACAGCAGCTGTAGCCAAATGCCATTTAGCGCTTGTCTACATGTAGAATAGAAAACCAAATTATATGGAATTGACGTAAATTTTGACACACATCTCCATACATTTAGTTTTCTACTCTCTCAGTAGACAAGCGCTAAAGTGGCGTTTGGCTAAAGGCACAGGTTATTTAATACCAAGGTTATATGATTTTTCTTAGGAATAACATGGAACTATGCACACGAGACTAGGAAAGTAGACATT